TCTAAACTGTTTCTGCTTCTGTTAAAACAATTAAGTCAAATATTTCTAGGTATAATGCTTAAGGCACTTGACTGCTAACCAGAAGGCTGGCGGTTCAAACCCACCAGCCGCTCCTCGGAAGGAAGATGGGGCAATCTACTTCCGTAGTGATACTGCCCTGGAAACACAAGGAGTCGCTATGAGTCGGGTCTGACTCCTCAACATATAACAACAACAACAACAACAACTGTGTCATTGTAAAGGGTGGAGTGAGAGGTTGGGGGTCACTTAGAGGGCACGCGTGGGGGCAGAGTAGACCTTGGCCCACTTTAGGAGAGACACCGGAGCTGGGAAACAAATGTACCCTCCCATCTCCCCACTCCATCTTCCAGCTTCATCTCACCAGAAATAATCCCATACATCTATGGTTAATTGATTTTTAACAAAGGTACCAAGACTATTTAATGAACAAAGAACAATCTTTTCAACACATGGTACTGGGGAACTGTATCTTCACATGCAAAAGAATGAAAATTGGACCCCTGTTTCAGATCATGTACAAAAATAATTCAAAATGGATCAAAGACCTAAATGGAAGAGCTAAAACTATAAAATTCTTAGAAAAAAACAGGCATAAGTTTTCAATATCTTGGATTAAGCAATAATTTCATAACAACAAAAGCATAAGCAACAAAAAAAGTAAATAAATTGCATTTCATTGAGATAAAAAAAATACAAAAAAAACCTCATGCTTCAAAGAATACCATCAAAAAGGTGAAAATTCAACCCACAGAATGGGAGAAAATTTTTGTAAATCATGTATCTGATAAAGGACTTCTACTGAGAATGTGGAAAGAACTCCTAAAACTCATTAATAAAAGTCAAATAAACCAATTAAAAATGAGCAAAATACCTGAATAAGATATTTCTCCAAAGAAAATATACAAATGGCCAATAAACTCATGAAAAGATGTTCAACACAATTAACCATTAGAGAAAAGCAAATCTTAAAAAGTAGCATGGCTAGAATAAAAAAAAGATAGTTAATAACAAGTGTTGATGAGGATATAGAGAAATTGGAACCCTCATACATTGCTAGTGGAAATGTAAAGTGGTCCAAACACTTTGGAAAACACTCTGGTAGTTCCTCAAACCATTAAACATACAGTTAACATATGATCCAGCCAATTCAATTCCACTATTAGGTGTATGAGAGAAATGATAGCACATGTTCACACAAAAATTTGAACATAAATGTTCATAGCAGCATTATTCGTAATAGTCAAAAAAATAAAAACAACCAAATGTCTATCAACTGTGAATGGATAAATAAATGTGGTATAACTATACAATGGAATATTATCCTGTCATAAAAAGGAATGAAGTACTGATTCATGTAGCACAGAAAAACCTTGAAAACTTTATGCTGAGTGAATGGAACCAGCCACAAAGGATGTACTCCATTAATGCTTCCAATGTCCTGTTTCTAGCCTGTCATTGTCCTTTCTCTTTACCCACTTGAATAATTAGCACTTCAAATGCAACAGAACTATGATAGCACCTTTCCCTCACACTGCCTCCTGGTGCTGGAGGACTTAGGAAATACCATCAGTGAGGCCGGAAACCATTCTACCACAATTTACCATCTGTGCTCTGAGGAGAGTCACATATAGTAGAAAGGGTGTGGGAGGGGAGAATAATAGGCACCTCCCCCTGCTGGCTTTCACCAGGTTTCCATTGATTTATATTACCTATTTTATTTGGTGGGTGGAGTCCTGATGGCACAAGGGTTAAGTGCTCCCCTGCTGACCAAAATGTTAGCAGTTTGAACTCACCAGCCACACACTGCAGGAGAAAGATGTGGCAGTCCGCTTCTGTAAAGATTACAGCCCTGGAAACTCGATGGGGCAGTTATACTGTGCCCTATACTCTCTGTGAGTTCAAAGTGATTCAGTGGCAATGGGTTTGGTATTTTGGTTTTGAGTTAGATTTTATGAGGAAGATTTTATTTAAGATTGAAAATAAGGGCTCTAAAGTAGTTCCTCTGGTAGCGTAGTGCCTAAAGCACTTAACTGCTAACCAGAAGGCTGGCAGTTCAAACCCACTCCTCGGAAGGAAGGTTGGGCAATCTACTTCTGAAATTAGACCAAATGTGGGTCCCCGCCCAATGCACAGTCAGGCCAAAACAGTTTACACACTGAGTGATTAAGAGGAGAGAAAAATATTTATTGTAAAATGGCAATGCTAGGAGACAGGGGCCATACCCAAATCTGACTTGCTGAATGGCAGTCGGGTTACAGTTTTCAGGTCTGTCCTGGAGGAAGTGCAGCCAGAATGCTCCTTGGAGGTGAGAATAACCAGACTTCGTCTCACTTACTTTGGTCATGTTGTCAGAAGGGACCATTCCCTAGAGAAGGATGTCATGCTTGGTAAGGTAGAGGGTCAATGAAAGAGAGGAAGGCCCTCAATGAGGTGGATTGACACAGTGGTGGCAGCGATGGGCTCAAATGTAGCAAGAATCATGGATCTGGCTCATGACCGGATAGTGTTTTGTTCTGTGCATAGGGTCGCTATGAGTTGGAGACAACTCAATGGCACTTAACAACAAGAGCAACAAGAAAAGCCTTATGCTTACTTCCATAAACTAATCAATGAAAGCCTATTGATCACAAGAGAAGGTGGTGTGATGGACTCAAAAATGGCAATGATCATGAAAATGGTGCAGGACCAAGAAATGTTTTGTCTCTGTTGTACATGAGGTGACCATGAGTTGGAGTTGACTGAAAGCAGCTAACAACAAGAGTGAATTGACCTTGATCATTCCATACTCTCTCATGTAGTCACTTTGTGACCAGAAGCTCCATGCACAAGATGGGCAGCGAGGGGCCAAGAAACGAGACCAGCTGACATGCCCACCTTGTGGCTGAACCCATAACTTGCAAAACAGTTCCTTATGCTCTGAACTTTCTGGCTGCTTCTCTTGTATTTCTGTATGTGTCTCCTTCTGACCTTCTCAGAGGCTCCACAGGCTGTCTAGCACCACAGTGTATGGGCATTTAGCAGTTGTGCAGGCATTAGAAACCTGGAAGAACTCCAACACAGTATTTGTCCTGTAGAACACACTCAAGGTTAATATTTCTATACACCAAAATTTATTTGAGTATTTTAAATATGCTGCAAAATTTGAGGCACGGGTAGATGAACACTTAAGTTCAAATAACATTAATATGGTATCAGTGAGAATTCTATCAAAGTGTGAAGGAAAGCTGTTCCTCTCTCAGAGAAGAGGAACTCAAGCAAGAATCTTAAATGAAGTACTTGACAGTAGTAGACCAGTAATACCTTTACGTTTAAAATTGTATGTACAGCATAAAAAATGTTTAGCTTCACATACTTTCTTACAAAATGTGTGCTTTCAATTTCAGAAAACGTGTCTGTTGCTTTTGTGTAAAGACGAAGGAGAATCCCAAGTGATAATATTCATTTGTTGATGTCAGCATACTGTAGAGCCAATCTAACTTGCTTTTCTGTCATTGCAGGTGATTTTCAAAGCAAAGTCAAAATATTCCCCAGAATTACTCAAATATCGGTAAGTATTCTAGGCATTTCTGTCTGTGGTGAAGGTGAAAGTAGTCACACATTAGCCCTGTTAGCACACATCATTCCTCTAGTGATGGAGTGATGGCTGGGAGGTGCATGGAGCAACCCTGCTGAGTGAGTATTTGGTCACAAGTATCATATCAGTTGTCCATGAGAGTCAACTTATTTAAACATTACTGGTGGTGTAGTGCCTAAGGTATTTGACTGCTAACCAGAAGGCCGGTGGTTCAAATCCACAAGCCACTCCTCAGAAGGAAAGTTGCGCAGTTTACATCCATAGTGGTACCTCCTGGAAAACCCAAGGAGACATTGCTGTGAGTCAGATCTGACTCAATGGCAGTGAGTTTATTTTTTATGTTTTTGAACTTGATATTGGGAGCTCTGGTGGTGTAGTGTCTAAGGCATTTGACTGCTAATCAGGAGGCTGACAGTTCAAACCCACCAGCCACTCCTTGGAAGGAAGATTGGGCAATCTACTTCCTTAGAAGTACTGCCTCAAAAACCCAAGGAGCGGTCGCTATGAGTCGGAAATGACTCAATATTTGACTGTTGCTTTGTTTATAAATAAGAGCCCTGTACCTTTCATAGCTCTGGTGGCATAGTGCCTAAGGCATTTGACTGCTAACCAGAAGGCTGGTGGTTCAAACGCACCAGCCACTCCTTGGAAGGAAGGTTTGGCATCTACTTCTGTAGTGATATCGCCTCAGAAACCCAAGGAGGGGTCACTAGGAGTCAGCTCCAACTTGATGGCAGTGAGTTTGGTTTGGTTTGGTTTACCTTCCATAGCCAGGAGAAAGTAGACAAGAATAAAATAAATGTGGATTACACATAAATGATTCTGAAGGCACTTGTGAAATAAAGAGCCCTTCACAGAAGGGTGATTGGTACCAACGGTTAACACACATGGCTGATAACCAAAAGGTTGGAGGTTTTAGTCCACCAAGAGGCACCTCAGAAGAAAGGCCTGTTGATCTGCTTCCATCAAAATAGCCATTGAAACTCTGTGGAGCACAGTTCTACTCTGACACACATAGGGTTGTCATGAGTTTCAATAGGCTCTATGGCAACCAGTTATTTAGCAGAAGGAAGACACGTTCTCTGAAAATGTCAGTGTGTGATCAGTTTCCTCCTCACCCCATCCCACTCTTTGAGTGGTTGTACAGTTGGTGGGACCCCAGGCCATGGCCTGTTAAGCCTTGTTGTTCCTCCAGCTCTGCCCTCCTCCTGACTTGCCTGACACACCTTGTTTCTAGCTGCAGACTGCTGTTAGGCTCTTTATTTCCTAGAACACCACAGTTACAAGTTGTGCTATAGAGAGTTGCTCTATAGAGAGTTACTTCTTGTTGTTAATTGCTGGCAAGCAGGCTCTCACTTATGATGTCCCCATGTACAACGAAATGAAACAGTATCTACTCCTGCACCATCTTCATGATTATTGGCATGTTTGAGTCCATTGTTTCAGCCATCATGGCAATCTGTCTCATTGAGGGTTTCCCTCATTTCTGCTGACCCTTTACTTTACCAAACATGATGTCCTTTGTTAGTGTTTGGTCTTTCCTGATGACATGTCCAAAAATAAGCAAGCTGAAGTCTTTCCATATTTGCTTCTAAAGGACATTCTTTGAATGTGTATTCCTTCAAAGACTGATTTGTTTCTTTTACTGGTAGTCCATCGTATATTTAATAACTTGATACACGGGTATTTATTAACCATCCAACTAGCAAATATATTTTTGACCATTTAATATTCAGGAACTGTGAGGCAAAAATGTAATCTGTGCCCTTGAGAAGTACTCACTATGTTTGAAAAGATGTCCTACAGAATTCAAAAACTCACAGAATAAGGTAGAGCTGTATACGAAAGTGTTCAATAGCATGAATAGTGCCTACTATGGGCCCCTGTGGGCTGTGGGAATTATGAGAACTTTGTGGAAGGAGTAAGGCTCATGCTAGGATATATAGGAGTCTGGAAGGGGGCCCCTTAAATTACATGTTAAATTGTATGTGAAGAGGTAGACACCCATGTTTTTCCTATAGAAAAATTTATAGCTGTCCCTAAATTTTCAAAGAAGTATGTGATTCTTTAAAAGTGAAGCTTAAAGAATGGTCAGATTTGGTGAGAAGGAGAAAGAGTGAAAAGCCCTATAGAAGGGGCACAAGGTGCAGCATCAGCCAAGGTTCTGGAGTCTCTGCTGCCACTGGCAACCATCTCTGCAAAGGTGACTTTCCAATTACCTTTTTGTATCAAAATGAAAAATACTTACTTTATTATTTAAAAATATGTGAAAATGCATATATATATATATATATATATATATATATATATATATATATATATAATCCTAAATTAATAAAAATACTGTATTAAAAATTTTGAAAGTGTATATTTTAATCCCCATTTCATATCTAAGAAACTACACTTGAGAAACTTTCTTGGAAAGTCAGAAACGTTATGTGACAGTGCTTAGGCCAGTATACAAGTAATGCAAAGTCCTGTGTTTATTTTTCATTAGATCTTACTATATCCCTTTACTATTTGCAGAACCAGATCAGATCAGACCAGTTGATTTGTGTTGATTCTGTCTCCATGTGTGTCAGAGTAGAATTGTGCTCCATAGAATTTTCAAAGGCTGTAACCTTTTGGAAGTAGATTGCCAGGACTTTTGCCTGAGGCACCTCTGGGTGGGTTTGAACTTTTTGTTTAGCAGCCAAGTGCTTACCATTTGCAACCCCAAGGTACTCCATAAATTTTAAAGGGAGAAGACTGATTCACCATATTTCCTCCAATCTATTCAACTGGAACTTGAGTGTCCATGAAAATATGATGTTGATCCTAAGAAGGACAATTTAAATTCCAGGTAGATGATTCCTTCTCTTTGATGACAAGATATTTAGCTTTTCCTCTGCTTCAGTTGTTGTTATCCATCCCCTTGACCAGAACTACGGATCAGCTGTGAGGACTGGGGAACTGGAAGCAAAGAATGATTGAAGACTGGGGTGGGGTAAGAATATTCTTATTGGATCATGGAGATCACTTTATTTTGGAACTAATGGATTGAGGCTGACTGTAATGAATTGTGTCCCCCAGATTATGTGTTAGAATTCTAACCCCTATAACTGTGAATATAATGTAATGAAAGGTAACCACCTTCTAAAATGCAACCTAATGTTATGTTAATGAAGCCATACCAGTGAAGGGTGTGTCCTAAACCTAATCACTTCTGTGTTATAAAAAAAGAGCAGATTAGACACAGAAGCTAGCACAAATGTGGAAGACAGATGTCATGGGAGGCTCTCTAAGAACAAAGGAAGGCCCAGGGCTACAGACAAGGAATGAACGTGAAATTGGACCAAACGTGGGTCCCTGCCCAGTGTACAGTCAGGCCAAAACAGTTTACACACTGAGCAATTAAGAGGAGAGAAAATTATTTATTGCAAAGCAGCAATGCAAGGAGACAGGGGTCTGTACCCAGATCTGACTCCCTAAACCCAGATCGAGTTACAGTTTTGTAAGTTTCAGGAGAGGGGGTTATACATATTCATAAAAACTTCAGGAATTTGGGCACGCATTAGCTAAATATTCACTGAAATTGCCTTTGCCTCAGTTTAAAGGAACTTTAATGCAGTGCACTTGTACACTGGATGAGTCACACCAGCTTCCTGTCATCAGCTGATTGGGGCTTAGGCAGAGGGGAGAATGTAAATTCTCAGCAACTTTGTTCCTGTTTGTCTCACTGAGCATGTCCTTGGACCAAGGTTAATTTTCAAGTTGTCTTCTGAGACATATTAACGTGCTTATCACCTGTTTCTAGGGGAAATAGCATGAAAAGAATGTGTAAATTGACTTTTCATTCCATTCAGTTCTTAAGGAATTGAGTTACTATATTTGCTTGTCTGTCTCCAACCAGGGTCCTATCTGTCTTAACCAGGGTGGGGGAATAGTTGAGCTTTCATCCTATTCAGTTCTTAAGGAACTGAGTTATCATGTTTCCTTATCTGTCTTCAACTGGGGATTCAGGCTGAACTTTGACTCTACTCGATTTCAATCTCCCCTTTGAATGGTTACTGTTCCACATTCTTGGGGACTGGGGCAATGACTCATTCTAGTTACTTCCTGCTGACCGGGGATGAAGATGGTGGAATTCAATCCTTGATTAGTAAATCTCTTGTAGATTAGACCGCTCTTGGAATTTTCTGGCCATAGTCCAGGAAGAAGAGCCTAGGAGTGACTGTAGAGTAGCCTGTAATTTTGGGGGCTTGAAGACAGACAAGTAGTTAGATGGACATTGAATAAAACAACAATAAAGAGTGTTAATGTTAATATGAGGAGCGTTTTAACAAATAAGGATCTCAGCCACCCTAAATTGAGTAACCAAGAGGTGAGCCAAGAAAAGTCTATCCCAAAGGGGGTTAAATTATGTCATATAGTTTCCCTGTCCTGTTGCAATTTACAAATGGTGTGATGAATAGCCTGTTGATCTTGTTCTATCTGTCCTGATGCATTAACTAATGAGCAACAGGTGGCATGGATGTATATACATACCCCTCCATTTGCTACTAGCATAAGGTCCAGGGCTGCCCAATTCTGAAACACAATAGTCTGGATACAAGTTATTTTATTTTGGAGTGCAGAAGTTATATCAGAAGTCAAGTTAGCTACTGACTCTAAGAAAACAGAAACATTCTGAACAAACTGGTATAAAATATGGAAGTCATGATAATTTTTTCCGACACCCATCCTAGGAATTAAAATTTGTTGGGCCTTTTCCCAAGCACTCCAAGTTAGATCAGGTGGGCTGCGTTGGTGTCGGTAGCTAGGATGGGCAGAATGCAAAACTTTTCTAATGGCAGGAAATGCATTCTGGCCAGATCCATCCTAGAGTGCAGGTGCCTTCATGATTAACTGGCCAAGGGCCTTGGGGATATTCAGGACTGAGTATCCCCTGTGTCCAGCAAAAATTCAATGGGCTGTTTTCCCACAGTTATTGC